ATATATATATATATATATATATATATATATATNTATATATATATATATATATATATATAAATATATATATAACATGTATATATATATACATACGTAGACATATATTTGTGCAACTTCCTGTGTGCATACGCATCAATAATAACTGCGTCTACGCAATGTGATCTTTGAACACTTCTATGTGCACGGCGCTATCTGAATATGTACTCTCTGCGCGATATGTATGTTTGTTTTTGAACTCTCTTACATACGCAACGCTCCGAGCATGGTATACTAAGCTCATAGCTGTGCGCGACATATACACCTGCATATATCCGTACATGAAATCTGTCATGCGAAACACATGATCAGCTATCCTACCCCCCCCCCCCCGTCCCCCCCCCTCTCTCCAGCTATTCATCTCATCTTCGAGCTGCTAGTGTATGTACCAAGGTGTCACATGGGCGAGTGGCCCTGGCGAGTATGGCCACACCCCCACCCACCCCCCCCCCCCTATACTAACCATTTGCGTACGAATTGGGGTGCGCATATGCCGTAGGTGCGCTTGTTGATTGTTGCCATGCTTCTTTGTCCTCGTAAGAGTATCATCTACCCGTCCAGCACTTTGCAGCGCTGGCTGGCTGATTGTACCCGCGACTCTGCATCGCTTAAACCCTGAACCCCTAGAGGAAAGCGAGTGCCCAGCGCACGCCTTTGAAGGTGCGTACACGTGTGTTGGTTTTGGATTCGCATCTGGGCATATTTGTGTTCAATTGTGTGTGCACGTACATGTATGTGCATGTGTGTGTGACGTTTCAGGAGGCCGACCTGTACACACGGGTCTTGTATGTGTACCAGGTTGTGCGTGTAGAATCCTTCATCTCTGGGCTGGCGGATAGTGGTGAACCAGGTTGCCTCCCCTAGGGTTTAGGGTTTACCTTTGGCACACATGTGTGTGCGTGAGAGAGAGAGAGTGAGTATTCACCAGTTCTCCACCCACACCGCCTTCCATGCCAATCTGTTCTAACGATGGCCCGAGCTGTATGTGCATCGCTCACCACCCCACTCTTATACTTCTTATACTTGCAAACCCTGTGTACGTGCATACAACACCACGTGTCATCACACACACACGTACACGAACATGCACAGGTCAGCCACACTCCTCTCCTAACTCGCAGTCCCCGTTCGCGCCCCCGGGCCACTACCCTGATGCTTCTGAGCGCTATCAGCACCTTCATAGCCACTCCTGTACGTCTCACTGTGCGGTGCGTACTCAGGCATGTGCCTGTTCCGCGGGGGGATGCGTTGCTGACCTAGATAGCCCAAGCCTTGGCCGGTGTAGTACAGGCTGTTGGCCGTAAGACCCATCACACTGCTGATGATGTATGGTAGGTGTATCGTCTCGGCGTCTAACGGGATGCGACACAGACAGTGCAGCAGCTCTACGCCCACCTGTGGGTTGGGAGGAACGCGGCAAGCGGTGGACGAGTGAGATTAAAGCCAGAATAACTGGGAAGCCAGCGGTAGTGTTATTGGCGGTAGTGTTAATGGCGGTAGTGTTAAAGGTGGTAGTGTTGATGGTGAACTTGTTCTTGGATGTAGACTGGGCAGGAACGCTACCAATAGAAAGACGGATCGATGGAGACCAACCCACACACACGCATACACCTGAATGTGTTGAGGACAGACGGGTCGCTGGAGACTAACCCATACGCACGCATGCACCTGCATGTGCCGAGGAAGTTCACCATCGCACGTACCTGTAATCTCGCGAACACCTGGTACCACTCCAGATTTTTAAATAAGTTGTACACTTCGCAGAAGCGCTCCATGGGTTCTCTTAGCTCAGTGGTGATCTGGTGAAATGAAAACAAGAATAAGAAGCGAGTATAAGTCACGTGGTTAAATAAAAACAAGGACAAGAAGCTTGTATAAGTCACGTGGTAAAATATAAACAAGGATAAGAGGCTTGTATAATTCACGTGGTAAAATATAAACAAGGACAAGAAGCTTGTATAAGTCACGTGGTAAAATATAAACAAGGATAAGAAGCTTGTATAAGTCACGTGATAGAATATAAACAAGGACAAGAAGCTAATATAAGTCACATGGTAAAATATAAACAAGGATAAGACGCTTGTGTAAGTCACGTGGTAAAATATAAACAAGAAAAAGAAGCTTGTATAAGTCACGTGGTAAAATATAAACAAGGATAAGGAGCTAATATAAGTCTAGTGGTACAATACAAACAAGGACAAGAAGCTAATATAAGTCAAATGATAAAATATAAACAAGGATAAAAAGCTAATACAAACAAGGATAAGAAGCTAATGTAAACAAGAATAAGAAGCTAATATAAATCAATTGATAAAATATAAACAAGGATAAAACGCTAATATAATCAAGTATAAGAAGCTAATGTAAAAAAGAACAAGAAGCTAATATAAGTCAATTGATAAAATATAATCAAGGATAAAAAGCTAATATAAACAAGGATAAGAAGCTAATGTAAACAAGAATAAGAAGCTAATACAAATCAATTGATAAAATATAAACAAGGATAAAACGCAAATATAAACAAGAATAAGAAGCTAATGTAAACAAGAATAAGAAGCTAATATAAGTCTAGTGTATACTCCAGAGAAGAGATGGACGTCTCGCACGGCAAACTGAGTATTCATGGATATTGCGAAGTTTAGTTTCATCCACTCAAATGCTATAGAGCCCATTCAACCACTCTACAGTCCTGTCTACCCTGAATGGTATCAGACACATACACTCATCCTCAGATATGCTAGTTAAGTACAGGCTACGATACACCACTGGCTATACAAACACCCACAGCACAATCAATACAAGGCATTCCGCCCACGTAGTCACTAGTTCTAAAGGGTCGCCAAAGACTCAACTAGCAGTTGTAGCAGTACCTTCCCACAATGACTCAGAAAACTCTTCAGCCCAGACAGGCCGTCACGAACTCGGTCACGATCAATCGGCTCTTCACCACCCTCAAAAGCAGGGTCCTGTGGACAGACAAAATAAATATATATATGAACATATATATATATGTTTCAGCAGGAGTAGTGGAAGGCAGATGGTGGTTGTTTGAGTTGTATGTACACGTGTTAATGAAAAATAAAGAAGGAATTTTAGCTACAGAAGTAAATAAAAATTGTGTATACGTATTGTCGAATGCTCGTCATCGAGTTGATTGACACACACACATATACATACATACCTAAACATCCATTTGTTATACCTTAATACTTAACACTATATATAAATATATA